ATAGATGATAGAATAATATAACACATGAGGAATCAAGAACATAAGCATCTCTAGTACTTCTATTAATAGAGTCATTTATGAAAATTGTGCATTTGCACGTTTTGTTTGTGTCGTATAGATCATGCCAAAAGAAAGAAGGGATAGCCTTAACATACCTGGAGTAGGAAAATAAATGGGGGAATTACGCTCCTTGTTACTTGGCCCAACAGTCCATCAAAAATGGCCCACGTTTGAAGTCATTACCTGATATGGCCCAAATTGTACATAATCTGAAAATTATTTTTCACCAGTTAGCCCACCCTATTTTTTGTCTTTTCTTCGTTCTTCTTATTCTTTTTCCTCTTTCACGATGTTGCACCCTAAAATTTCTCTACCATTATATATATTCTTCAATTCTCCTTCCAGATTCAAAGGTTATAATCACTATTAAGATGAGAAGAAAAAAATACTACTTAAGAGAATTATTATTTTTGGAGTCACCATTAAAGGTCATTCGAATCTTCAATTTCAGAAATTGGATTTTTCAATTTTGTTAGTTGTTCGGATTGGGTGTTGGCCAGATTGATTGGGATCGTCAAAAGGAGTTCAAAATTCAAATTTGAAGTAATTTGGAGCAGATTTGAGCTAGATTTAAGTTGAATTTCAGAAGATGCCCAAAGAAGAAGAAGAACCAGTGAGCTCCATTAATAGGATTCATTTGTATAATAGTGTATAAGTAATGTATAATAGTGTATAAACACCTCTTATACATTATTTTATATAAGGTTGATACATTATTTACAAGTATTTAGTGGATTTCTCACATTTCTTCTTTTTCTTTTTCTTCTTCAACTACTACACCTATATACATGGTGTATCACTAACATTTTTAATACTGTGCTTGTACATCTTTATACACTTTTATACAACTATATATATAATATACCTCTTTGTATAAAAGTGTATAATATTGTATAAAAATATAAAGCATCTCTGACGAACTTTTTGTATGATTTTCACTTGCAATTCTTGATTAAAACTATTTCAATTCTCCATTAAATGACTTCAAACTTTGTACAGTCTACTTAGACTAATTATAATAAGTTCAACAATACTCACTCCAAATTTCTCACAAAATCATATTCAAAATCTAACAAGATTAGCATTAAAGAAAATGAAATTTTAGATTTCTCGAGTCTATTTTTGAATTTTTGTAGTTATGATAGGTATGTAGAAACTTGAGAAAAAAAGGAGAATGGAAATGTTTCACGCTTGAAGATATAGAGAATAAAAAAACTAAAAAAATGTATATCTAAGCTTATTGATATTCGGCTACACATTTGCAAACTTGTAAGTGAGCTAAAATAATGCAAGGTCAACTTATGGAGTGCATTATTATGTAATTTTGTCAAAACAATCTGTATGATATTCTTGGAAAAGGTTACACCGTATTCCTTTAGAATCGCAAAATCTCATGTTGCTACGGTGCTAAGAAATCTTTTTGGAATTGTTTTGTTTCAAGACTAGCGTCCGTTCTTGTTGGAGCGAGCTTTAGATTGCCTTTTTCGTTAGCTTCATATGAAACCATTAAAGTATTTTACGTTAGCTTTTTATGTATGTAATCATAAGATCTTTTGTTGGAAACCATTAAAACAATTCTTTCAAATTGTTGGAAGAATCGTATCTTTTAATTTGTCAAATTTATGTAGCCTTTTAAGGCTTTTCTTTTAACTAAGTGTCACCTAATCAATAATGACTAAGAGTCATTGTTTGATTTAGTGGCTTGCTTCCACGTGGGAGGTGGGTGGAAATTTTGATATTATTCAATAATTAATTAATTAATTAGATAATATTCCGTTACTCGGTAATTAACTAATTACCCGCATAATTAATAATTACCTCAAATTACTTAAAATTCTATTTATTTTTAATACACTTTATACATCCTACTATCATGGTCATATGGTACCTTGTATGGTACTAGTCCATAAATATCGAGGTATTATAGCTTGGACCGTATTTTATCCCAAATTACCAAACTTCGACGAAAATTTATTTTTCTTTGACTTATTTCCCCTCTCATCTTCACGAACTTACTCATTACTTGTTTAAAATAGCATAATCCTTAAAATCTCCAAATAATCTTTTTCTTGGACTGATGTCATCTACCTTACGACAAATTCAACGTACAATATTGCAGGGTACAACATTGTCGTAATTTAATATTGTGAAGCGTAACATCATCGTAATATAATACTGGGGGGCATAATATCGACATAATATTCCCGGGTGTAACACCCATTTCAGTCCAAAGCAATTCCCGAGATCAAGTTCATCCGCAAATCAGGTACATGCCGCATGTCTTTTAGAACTAATGTTCATCCGACATTTGTCTTGATACAAATGTTACCAATCCCCGCAATCTTTGAGTAACTTGTGTTACCCATTCTTACAGTGCCGAAATCACTTGCTACATATCTGCAAAAAATATCTCTTACCGGTGTGGCATGGTAAGATGCTGCTGTGTCAACCACCCATTCCGACTCTAGACCTACCAAGTGCATGCATTCTTCTTCCGCATTTATTAAGAGAACAACATTATCATTATTTTGCACTACGGCAGTTGTTTTGTCGTCATTCTTCTGGCCACTGGTTTCACCTTTGCCCTTCCTTAAATTTGGGAAATCTCTTTTTAGACCTGGTTAATCGTAATTGTAGCAATTTTTGACTTTTGATTTGGATCGGTTCTTGGACTTCCCACGACCTCCAGATCTACCATAGTTGCTCACCTTTGATAACTCCTGCCTCTACCTTCTGTGATGAGAGCATGTCCTTGATTTTCAGGTTTCTTTCTCATCTTCTCATTAAGTAAAAGAGCCGATGTGACGTCTTTCTACTCAGTAGTAGTTTTACCGTGTAGGATGGTTGTTGCCAAATTATCATACGAAGATGGCAACGAGTTCCATAGCAAGATGGATTTATCTTCTTCCTCGATTTTCACTCCGAGGTTGGCGAGCTATGTGATTAGTCCGTTAAACACATTTAAATTTGACAAAAAATTTGTACCTTCACCCATGTGTAGGGCGTATAACTGCTTCTTCAGGTGCAATTTATTTGTCAGTGTTTTGGACATGTATAGACTTTCCAACCTTGTCCAAATATCACATGCGGTGTCTTCATCAATGATGTTATTTACCACATCATCTGATAAGTGCAACCTGATTGCACTAGCAGCCTTTTCATCCAAGTCAGCTCAATCCTCAACTTTCATGGTATCAGGCTTTTTGGCATCAACATCTAGTACCTTGTGCAATCCCTGTTGGATGAGCAAATCCCTCATCCTTCTTTGTCATGTTGAGAAATCACTATCTCCGTTGAATTTTTCTACCTCGTACTTTACTCCGAATATTTTTTTTCCACCGAGTATAGTACTACCGATAGTGAATATTATTTCTATAAAAGAGCAGAACATGTGCTCTGATACCAGTTGTTGGGAATAAATCCCCCACAGAAATAATATTCACGGTAATAAAAGCAGAATAATAATGTAACACCAAGATACGATAAATCAACAAGAATAAAAGAGTAACGACGACACAAAGATTTTTACGTGGAAAACTCTTCTGAATAAGGGGAAAAACCACGATCCCGAGAGGAGCAACTGATATCACTATAGCAAGAAATTTTACACTTTGTAGGCCCGAGTAAAATACTCCAAAGACCACTACAACACTCAAAAGAAATAACACTCTTTTGATATTCCCACCTCACTACAATATCGCTCACGCTCTCTGTTTTCCTCATAGACTATTTTCTTATACTCTGTCTGTGATACCTCACTCTTATTTTCTCTCTTTGTTAGTGTGTTTGAAAGAAGTGAAAGAGCTCTCCTTTTATAGGAAAAAATACGTAGCCTCCAATAATGCTACAGGAGGAGCTTCAATTCTCCTCCATTCATTTCCAAACTTGGGGCCAAAGTAATCATAGGCACATGCCTATTACAAATGGGATGGACCCTACAAATACAACGGTAAAAACTGTAACGCAGGGATGGAGGACAGACCTTTAAGGGCCGATGAAACAGGATTAGTAGGCTTCTAGGCTGAAGAAGGTATGCACATGTCACCTTAGGTGCATCCTATATCATAGTGGGAGAGGAAAGTGAAGAGCTTTATAAGGCACAATAGAAGTTCACATGGTACACGCACTTATGGGGCTCGATATGACGTAGCCCGAAAGACAAATTCATATGCCCGAAACCCAAATCGGACAATACGTGTCATGGACTTGGATCGTCACAAATATGGTATAAGAGTTTGACACTACCTTAGTACGATGGTATGGCAAATGTCGCTGAGTCCTAAAGGGGGTAGATGTGACGTCCATAGCGGAGGGCGGATCAATGGGGGAGGGTCAAACAGGATTGGCAGACTTCTAGGCTGGCAAGTTTTTAAATAAGAGATGCACATGTTACTTTAGGCGAATCCCACGTCGAAATAAGAGATAAAGATTTTATGAAACATGATACAAGTTCACAAGGTATATGTACTTTTGGAGCTCAATATGCTGTAACTCAAAAGATAGTCAAGATCCAAAACAGATAATACATGTCATGGACTTTATCATGACAAAAACAAAACTCTTTTCATTTTTTTTTGAGGCACGTTTATCTTAAAAAAAAAGGTAGGAAGATAACAATTGATCGTTTAATTTATAATATTTTTGTGAATTTTAAATAACATAAAGCTTGCTCCATCCATTTTAATTTATGCGACAGAAATATGAATTCGCACAAAGTTAAATAACCAACAAACTTAGCCTATTTCAAGTGACAACATATACTCAGACAACATTCAAGTTGAGATAATCACTGGTCTGATATCATGCAAAAACTTCCAAAAACAACTCCCTCCATTCGTCACCAATTCCTTATAGCACCTCGTACCACGTGTTCAAACACATCTTACTTCATGCATGTATTACTCAATTAATGTTTATCTTCCCTACACTAAATGTTAAACCCTCCAAAACACCAAAAACCAAGAAGAAAACCATACCCTCTTCTCATTTTCTCTTTCATCTTCTTCTTGACCTGATCAAAAAAAAGAAAAGAGAATGGATTTGGTGAATTCAGTGCTGAACTTTGTGGTACCACCAGCAAGTTTGGTGATGCTGGCGTTTGCATGGCCAGCTTTGACTTTCATAAACACGTGTGAATGGTTCTACAACTCTTTCTTTGGTGAAAATATGGAGGACAAGGTTGTCATCATCACCGGAGCTTCTTCTGGGATTGGAGAGGTAAAAATGTGACTTGGAATTGTTAATTTGTGTATCAGTTTCATTTCCTTATTAGCATTAGCAATAGATAGTACTCCCTCCGTTTGAATTTATGTGTAGTTGTTTGATTGGGTTCGGCGTTTAAGAAAAATGAAAGATTTTTAGAATTTGTGATCCTAAACAAGTCAAAAAGGGGTTAAAGTATTTATGTGGTTATAAATGCTTCTCATCCAGGGTAGGGTTGGAAGTTTAAACTAAATTATTTTCAAAAGTTAGAAAGAGATCATTCTTTTTGGAACGGGCCAAAAAATAAATAGGTTCGGTAAAACTGAAACTGAAACTGAGGAGTACAATTCATAAGTTATTTTTGAAATTCAAGTCTTTTGGGATTACAAAAACGAAAGTCAACAATTGGAGCTGAAGATGTAAAATTACTTTTGACCACATCACCTAATGATACTTCATTACAAACTTAAACACTTTAGCTCTAGCTGATCAACTACATTTAAAAAAAATTATCTCCTTTCTATTGTATTAATTTACCTAACCCCCTTTTACAATACTTCTGTAAACGTTTTATTGGAGTTGATTCCCTTTACCTTGTAAGCTTTTTGTAGCATTAAAAAACCTCCATTCTAGTCATCGGTTCATTACATTAAATGGTCACTTAACTATTCGAGATAACGATAATGTTTCCTGCCAATTCTCAACCAAAACAAAAAAAAAAGAGAGAGAATTTGTTCTTCCAATTGTAGAAGTAATTGCAGTAAAATGGAGAATCTGTTATTTCCACATTGAAATTCTACTATGATTGTCGATCCAACGTTTAGTCTATGAGTTACTACTACATAATCAAGTTTCCATTATATAGGTTCTTGTTTGTAACTTTGGTCATGCATCAGCATTTACATTTTGGGAAAGCATTGATTTATGTGACAACATAAAGATATTAAGTTTCCCTCCTGTTTTAAAGCTGCAATTATGCTATTATTCTGTTCTTCTTCTTCTTCTTTCTTGTGCGTGAACTCTAGTGAACAAGTTACAAAATACTTGATTTTACTCTGTGATATTAGCAAATAGCATATGAATATGCAAAGAGGAAAGCCCATCTAGTTCTGGTTGCGCGACGAGAAAACAGACTCTGGGGAATCAGTGAGAATGCCAGGGGACTAGGTGCAAAAAGTGTCCTCATAACAGCTGCAGATGTTGTTAAAGAAGCTGATTGTAGGAGATTTATCACTGAGACTGTAAATCTATACGGGCGTGGTAAGTACTTACTTCTCATTTTATGCAAAAGAGACCCAACTTATATATTTTTTCGTTTGGTTATATTAAGGGGTGTATCAACCAGATATTCTTTCGTTATGTAGTTTCAACTCTCCAAGTCAGAGGCGGATCCAGGATTTGTAGTTTATGGGTTTCTATAGGAGACCTCATGTAAATTTACAATAAGTAATGGAGTTCACAATCAAATATTTACGAATATTTAGTGAATTTTTTTAATATACATACGTACAGGGTATGTGCAAAAGCTACCGGGTTTACGGGAGCTCGCACCTACTAAGTTGGATCCGCCCCTGCTCCAAGTTATGCTCTAGAGACAAATGGATTTGTTTCTGATTGCATTATGCAAATTGGTGGATTGATGCTTGGAAGGCAAAATAATACTAAAACTGGGATTGATAGTACTTCGTATAGCGTGGCATGTTTCAATCGTCGAGAATAGCACCTAGTAACTAAACGGTTGTCTGAATTTTATTCTGACAACAATCTCCTTTCATTTCCCTATTTTCAGTGGATCATCTTGTAAATACGGCAAGTTTGGGTCATACTTTCTACCTGGAAGAAGCCACGGATACAAATGTCTTCCCCATTTTGATGGTATGTGAAGCTTTTACAAGAGATCGTCCACAATTCTCTCTTTTGGTTTTGATGCAGTTATGTTGGTATAATGATTTTTCCCAAGTTTGTTGCTGCACGCGGGGATACACATTTTTCATTTATCTTCGAATATGTTTCCAAATTTACAGAATTCTAAATATTGTCCATTTTTCAGGATATCAACTTTTGGGGAAATGTATATCCTACCTATGTAGCTCTACCTTACCTGCGGCAAAACAAGGGCCGAGTCATAGTGAATGCTTCAGTAGAGAGTTGGTTACCCTTGCCAAGGATGAGCCTATATTCTGTTAGTAATTCTAACCATTGCTATTTATTCCTCAAAACTGAATTTGTCTAGTTTGAGAACTGAATTACTCAAGATTTCTTCATCCTCCTCCTATTCCCATCTTCCCCAAGAGATTATAATACTTGCATCACATCTTCTTTTTGTAAAATAGGCAGCAAAAGCAGCACTTGTAAATTTTTATGAGACGTTGAGATTCGAGGTGAACGGTGACGTAGGGGTCACAATAGCAACACACGGATGGATTGGGACTGAAATGACCGGGGGAAGATTCATGCTAGAGGAAGGTGCTGAGATGCAGTGGAAGGAAGAAAGAGAAGTAAGTCTCTCTTTTCCAAGAAATGGCATTCTTTGCCCGAGATTTGCTTAGTAGTAGTTGCTCACTAAATTCACTGTCTAACAAGCACACAAACATTGTTTAAGGAACAAAAGCATATAGCAGCCTTCTCCGAGAACCTGTCTTCCAAGTGCCCGGGGTGGAGCGGTTTTAAGTAATATACCATACCGTCTGTGAAAGTTGAACATTCAGAATTTGTATAACTAGCCATAGTTTCAAGGAAATTAGATTAAACTGATAAGAGCATTATTGAACTGAGAAGTTAGCTCTTCACAGGGTTAATGCTGTTAAGAGTCTAGCAAGATCATATAACTACATCCGCCTTTATCATGATTTCATTACCTTTATTTTCTGATATTCGTGGGAACTTTTGGTAATATTTTATCTCCACGCAATTAAAGTTGATATATGCATTCTCGTGTAAGGTTCATGCATCGGGGAGTTCAGTGGAGGACTTCGCAAAGTTGATTGTGTCGGGGGCATGCAGAGGAGATCCATATGTGAAATATCCGAGTTGGCACGACATTTTCCTTCTCTATAGAGTATTCACACCAAATGTTCTTCAGTGGACATTTCGGATGTTGCTTGCAGACCAAGGTGCACGGAGGACTTCCTTCATTGGCACGGGAAGGCCTCTTCTTGAATCAACCTCTCCTCGGAGACAGCCTCTTCCCGAGTCAACTTCTCCTCGGAGACAGCCTCTTGCCGAGTCATCCTCTCCACGGCGACAGCCTCTTCTCGAGCCAACCTCTTCTCCTCGGAGACGAGTGGGACCTGTTCCAGTTCAGCAGCAGATGGAATAAAAGGAAGTAGATTGAGTCATACTTTAATTTTACGGTGATTGTGTTTGGGGTGTTTTTTAGTCAAGATTCTGTGGATATCATTGTAAGAGTTCACAAGATACAATCAATAGTTGGCTCAACAAACGAATGTACTTGGCTTGTTTAAGAATGTTTGTATTTGGTTTAGAAACACTTTCGATAAGAAGTTTCCTTAAGTTCCTTCAGGATGTTATGTCAATTACCTGTTAATCTGGCATAAAAAGGTAACTTACATGAGAATCCTTTCAAATGTGATGACAGGTATTTCGCGAGAAATAGCACGGGCTAGTCAATTTTCGGATTGATCATTCGAAAATAGCTAGCTTTTGCAAAGTCATTGAAAAATAGTCACTATTTTGCTGCAACACGGAAAGTTTCAGTATAATATACTGAAGATCGGTGCACCTGTGTATGAACTTCCAGTATATTATGCTAAAACTCCAACATGCGGAAAATTCTAGTATAATATACTGGAGATTGGAGCACATGTGTATGAACTTTCAGTATATTATAGTTCCAATATACTTATGTTGGAACTACAGTTCCAGTATATTATATTGGAATTTCAGTATATTATCCTGGAGTATTTTCCGGATTTTGAACAGTATTTTTGTTCAAATTTATCTTTACATGAAAAGTGGTTAAATTTCGATTACTTTTGAAACTACGACTATTTTTGAATGACCACTTATAAATCTGGCTATTTTTTAATCTCTCCCATATTTCGCAGAATCTGGCTCTATTCGTGAAGTCCATAACAATTCTATCACTTTACTCGCACTGAGTGATTGAATATTGCGGTGATAGCCAGGTGTGGATTTTCGTGGACACTAAAATTCATGTACACACAGAGATATTTGTTTCTATTCAGCTAATATATTCAATGTAAGCAATAAGTATTTAGTGAGGGCTCACTTTTCCAGAATGATATCTGATGTAACTTGGTACAATCATTTTTCCTTGAAAAGAAAGATAATTTCTCTTACATTTTTTGGGGAAATTACAGTACGAGCTGACTGGTAACGAGATTCTTTGCACAATAATGTATCGTATATTCAGATTCAAAGGTGAATATTGCCTCGCTACATCTCACGTTCTAAAACGAGCAAGCACAATGAATGAGATGATATACACTATGCTACAAAAAATTGGACCTTTCTGCAATCTATAGGTACACAAGGGGTTCACAACAGATTTCCCCGGCCATATGACCAATGTTAGAAGTCCTTCAGCCTAAAATCCTTGGAAGGAAAATGAAAGGATCTTGAACAGCCCATCTGGGTTATCGGCATGTACCTGGAAAAAGAAATACCCTTGTTATTAGGATTAGGATCGCGTGATGCATAATTGTGCAATTTCTTTCAGCACGGCAAGTCAGAAGGCCAGTGCACTAGGATTCAAGATTGTCCATCATTGTCGAGGAACAAGAGTAATGGTAGAATAATGAAAGCTCAACTGTTAGCCTTGTTTCACCGTCTGCTTTTTTAAAGTCAATAGCCATTAACAGCAAAACAAATGTATCCTAAGTTCATCGTTCAGAAGTTAGTGCGAGTCAGAACAGTTGATGCATTCTTAAGTGTTCTGCTTTACATAACAACACTGGAAAGTTATTCTTTCTGATTCAATCAGGTCAGCCTGTTCTCTATGTCATCAGTTTGGGAGCAGAGTGTAGATAGTCCAGCACAGGAAGAACGAAGGTTCGCCATGTATGTTAAAAACTAGAGTCAATCTAGATATTCCCATTATTCCATTTTATGTGACATTATATCCTTAAGAGTCCATTCCAAAACGAATGGCACCTTTCTATAGTTGGAAATAATTTAAATTTTAACTTTCCATTTTACCCTTAATGACATGCTTTTATAGCCACAAAAATCTCATGGCATGGTTAAAACCACAAGTTTCAGAAGTCTTTCTTTCTTTCTTAAAATCCGCGTCATGTCAAACTACACCACATAAATTGAAAGGGAGGGAGTATGATAAATTACCAGTTTTCAAATCTGACGCACACTAAAAATGGAAAGCACTTTGCAACTTGAGAAGTTACGCAACATACAGCATAATGTGTAGGGCAGAAGCAACCTACCCAATGACCTGCATCTTCAAGGACATGCATTTCAACTCCACCTCCCTCCTCTACAGCTTGTTCCTCAGCAACATGGATTCTTCTGATATCCTCAAGGGCCCACCTATGAAGACTTCTTTCTGCTTTCAAAAAATTAACATGCACACCCCGAGGAACATCTTCCACAATTTTCCTGCGTGAAGATTATCAGTCACTATAGTTTTTCTTCTTTGAGAAGGAATTACTATCTCCTCTTTTATAGAGAATGAGCTAATAAGCTTGGTGACAGAACCAAAAATCAAATGAAAGATGTGAAACAAACCGTTGATACATTCTTCTATTATTTAACTAACTGTAATGTACTCATTGCGAAGTTATACATTGATTATCATATAAACAGAATGAGGTAACGGTTCACATTTATTCTTAGCATGTCAATAATTTTGCTTTTTAGGCTCAAATAATTCCAGATATTTTTTCTTTCTTTCTTCTTTCTATTGTCATGCTAGGTATGAGTTGAGTGACCAGTCCTCCAGTCCATAGAATTCACTGAAATTTTTCTGATCATCTTGCTATTCTTATATTAATGTTGAAACTCCATCTTGTCAAAAGACATCCTGCAATTTATCTGACATTTCCATGTTACTTTTCTTTAAAAATTTAAATTTGATTGATAGCAACAGGATCAAAAGGCCGTGCACGTTGGTGTCTTGTTGAACCACTATTGGTACATGTCCACACTACTCCAGAATCTATTGGGCAACAGGTAAAAAAATTTAATGACTAATTACTTTAAAAAGATAGTCTGGTCAAGGAATGAACAAGAAGCCAAAAGAGTGATCATAATAAAATCTGCATACTTAAAATTGACATGAGCAACCTACCACATATTTGTATCTTCGTATGATTGATACATCTCAGCAATACCCTTGAGATCAAATACCCATGACAAATGTGAAGGGGGTGAACCAGCAGAGTTGATTTGACGAAGGTTAGTTACCACCCACTGCAAATATTACAAAAACGGCAGTTGAAAAAATTAGAACTTGCCCATTCGCATCTTACGTGCAAGCAAATTAACAGTTTTTGAAACGGATACGTGCAAGCAAATTAACAGTTAAATGATGGTAATGAACAATGATCAGCAAGATGAATCTTTTTTCAGAATTACCGCACAATATACTCTATTTACTAAATCATCTATTGTACAAACAATTACATGCTACTTTCATCACGAGTCCGAAAGCTGCTACAGAAGAGAGTCTGGCATTTAAGTGGAGATGCAGTGCATTTAAGTGGAGATCGGGTAGAGGGGTGAGTCCATTATCCACCAAGTTCGAGTCGTGCACTAGCTGGACCTCGGAGATTTCTCGGTTATCACAAAAAATTTGATGGCAACAAGTAGATATGAAGGGTAATTAGCCCCCCTCTACTTTCCTCAAAGCAAGAAAGTATTGCCCTTCACTGAATTCCCTTCTCCAATTGAAAAACCAACTAAATACAGTGTTAAATGCTTGCGCAACGAGCTCATCCTCTTTGAGAAGTGAAGATAGAGGCGTATCTAGTATAAACGCAGTGAGTCAGCCTGAATCCACAGTGCCTAGCTCGAACCTCATATGTATGTGAAAAGACATAGAGAATACGCGTATATATAAAGAATCAAATTCACTGCATTAGAAGAACTACACAGTAGAATTCTGAACCCATGGACTCTAAATTCTAGATCCACCTTTGAGAAAGACAGTTAAAATTTTGAACGGCGGGGAGCCTGAAACATTGTGCCTAACCGACCAAAACAATGTTCAAGAATATCATTTCAATAAATCACATGGAAAAAGAAGAGTCATGATGTTCTTCAAATAGGCTCTCTTTAGAAAGGAAATGCGGTTAGAGAGACTGGGGTGTCATTCTTGTCGTATAATTCGTATCCTTTTTTTAAGCCAACTTATCCTCTGGTATTTCACCTTCTGAATCATCAACTCACTTTTTCTATCAGAATAGTCAAGACAGATTACTGTCTCACCCTCAGGGGCAGTGAGAAGGGTGGAAAACATTATGACTTATTGCTGATATCTCATATCACAGTTAATAAATATCAAGCTCAGTGTCTCACTAGATGCAGAAAAGTGCCTACGCTTATCCATCTTTTGAAGTTTGCAAAGTTGAAGTTAAAGTGTTAAACCTTTCAGAATTCCTACGAAGAAAAGATGTGAGGCCAAAAAAAAAATGAGGCCAATGGGATACGGGATACCTGTGCAACATCCCTGGAAAAACCTTCTAGTATAAGAGCCTCCACGATATCTCGTTTTGAAGAGACCTTCCTTGAAAAATAATATTCATAAGAAGAACTGATGTCAATANTAAGGCCCACTGCACCTCCCACTCCAAATTTCTACTCAAAAGTCTTAAAAAGGAACACATATCTATATTGACACACTACAGATATCATGGAGAATTTCACAACAAGAGACCATAAAATTTGTTATGATTCATGTTAGGAAAATAGACATGGAGACATTTATACAAACTGAAATCACCAAAAGCACACACCTCTTTTGGTAATTTACTCAGAAATGATATCAATTCAGCTGGATGATCATCTCCATCTGCACCAGCTCGAACCTCTCCTGGAGTAGCATCTAAAACCCAGACCTATGACACAATTAGTTTGAATTACTTCAAAGAATTAGGGGTTGGAAAGAAAAAAGCAGAAGAAAGGATAGCAAAATAGATCTCAAGAACAAAGAAAGTACATCAGAATAGAAAATTATCATCCCTGAAAACCAATTACCAAAATCATCAATCGTAGATAAGACAACTGTGAAGCATATGTTTTTAATATTGATTTTAACCTCTCACAGGGCCCAAGCAAGATCCAAACACTGTTTGATATTAGTGCAAGTATGCTTGTAGAATTTTGGTATAGAATACTTACTCTAACTGGACGTGCAAGGGGTTTTGCAACCTGCTCAACCATACTCAATGCAACTGCAAGGTTTAAGAAGAAAGATGAATGTCTGAACGACAAATTAACAATTGATTTCTCCAAGTAGCTTTCTAATATAATCAGCTAAAAGTTACCTTTTCCTCCAAAGCTGTGACCAACTACAACTCGGGGAGTCAATCTGAGCTGGCCAAGCTAGACAAAAAAGAAAGAAAAATTAAGACAAAACAAGGTATTACCATAATCCTGCTACCATCTCAGGCAAGAAGCAAAGAGGCAAAACGGTAACCATTTGACCCAACCCAAAACCAGCAAAAAAGAAATCATAAGTGACACACCATTGAAATGACATGGCATATACTCTATCACCCATATAATGCGTTCATGAATTACAAATTTACCAGCACGTAAGCAGCCTCCCATGGAGAATGTTTGGCCAATAATTCAGTGATATTGTAACTAGAATTCCCATGATTTTTGAGTGTGTATAGATTTCATAGAGAATGTTTGGCCAATGATTCACTGATGTTGTAACAACCGTGGATCACTGGCGGTTGAACTCGAAAGGGGGTTTGTGAAACCTGCTTTAGGAAAATCCCACATTGGGGGNCACAAAACGGTAAGGCCCAAAAGCCTTGAGGTGGCCTAGAGGGGTTGGGCCAAAGAGGACAATACTTTGGCAGTTGGGACTGAGCCATAACAGGTGACAAGACATGACTTAAAATTCTATTGATACGGATGTCACTGGAACGACATTGGAGAATTGTATGTGCAGAGTGCAGCAGGTCATGGTCAAGAAATTATACCAGCTTTAAGACATCAAGAGCAGCTGATGCAACAGTATGTGGGCCCCTCTTCTTAAGAGATGCTGAATCACCATGGCACCGCAAGTCCACTAGGAGAAACTGCAGAAAAGTAAATCTACTGTGTATTGTCCCCAACAAAATCACCAAAATATATATCGTATCAAAACGAATCAACCATAAGATATCGGATGATCAGTTAGAGAAGAATGTGAGCTTGAGGATCACACTGGTGAAAAGAGCCAAAAGCAAATGAATTTTAGGATGCATACCCACAAAGAGGAGAAAAGATAGGTGGATGTTCTGACCACAATTAATAGCAGTTTTCAAAAGTTACTGAAAATATTTACGATAAGTCACAGAAGCTCATATGAAAGAGTGCAATGCGTTGCAATTTTTTTCTAGTTGCATATCTCAGGAGGGTGATAAAGCACATCAGAACCTTTGGGAGCTTCATATGTTTTTGTTAGTTGTAGAGCTTCATATATTACTGTTTTTGTTTTAACCTTAGTTTTTTGTGCGAATGAATCAATGACAAGAAACACTGTTTTCAGGGCAAGGACTTGATGCGTAGACACTTACATCCCCCTATAACAAATTTTACCCAATAACTGATTGGCCCAAAAAGAGTTCTCAGAGGCTGTTGATTAATGACTTTTCTGAAGTTTGGACATTAGTTTGACCTTATATTTTCTTCACAGCAACCAATGAGAAAATTCTAGGATGTAACATAGTATTAACAAAATGCAGGCAACTCAATAAAGGAAAGAATAGAAAAGCAGAGAAGGGAATGGTATTTGTGCACTCTTTACCATAAACACTCAGCTGTTGATTTTATCTAATCCATGGACCATGGTTATGTGAAAACCTATACCTGAATCTTTTCAATGTGTCCAATCCCTAGCTTTATATACATATAAACACACTCTCTCTCAAGGGTACTAATGTCAAATCAAATCTTCCTTTCTCTTCATTTTTCACAGATCAAGTAAACAACATGCAACAGAGCACATTCCCATCCAAACTGGACAAGTTAAACATGATGCAAAGTTCTTTAAAATACTACATAAAGGGATAAGAATAAATGTTTATCTCTAGTACCTGCCATTTCGGAAATTCTTGGGCCAATCTCCTTGCAAAGCTTCCTGAAAATTTCAGATTGTCATCGAAATAGTCTAAGATGAGACTATAAGAAGCTTGAAGCAGGAATACTGTTTAAGCAGATTGGATGAGTTAGGAAACTGTCTAAAGAAGTAATACGTCAACAATTTAACTAGTAATCTCTATGGAAATAAGAACAATCTCTATGCCTCAAGATGTGGAATTTGTATTGCATTCCAGCAATAGAAACACTTTTTAAATCATTCTTTTCCATAAGCAAACAATTTTGCATTTTATTGCAATATGAGTTCCCTCAAACTACAGGTTCTTTATCAGAATTCTAAAGTCTATTGCAAAATCTTGCAACACAATAAGATCGAAATAAAAAGAATTTTTTTTTTTTTTTTTTTTAGTAAA